GGGTTTATTTTTTGGATCTCCACCCTTTTTTTATTGGTCTGTTTTTATGCCAATACTATGCTATTTTGATTACTATGGCTCTTAGTATGTTTTGAAATCAAGTTTTTTTTTTTTTATGCACCCAGTGTTGTCCTTTTTGCTCAAGGGTCTTTTGTACTTTCACATAAATTTAGAGTTGTCTTCTAGTTCTGTGAAGAATGTCATTGGTATTGCTTTGAGTAGTGTAGGCATATTAACATTAATCTTTCCAATCCAAGAACATGGGAGGTACTTCTTTTTCTTGGCTAAGTTTATTCCTAGGTGTTTTTTTTTTGTTTGCTTTTTTGAAGTAGAACTGCTGTCATAATTTCTCAGGAAATTTATTATATAATTCATTATATAAAAGCTACTGATTTTTAAATTTTTGTACCTAGCTATTTTACTGAATTTGTCAGTCCTAATAGTCTTTGGTTTTTTCTGAATATACAATCATGTCATTTGCAAACAGAGCTAAATTGACTTCCTCCCTTCCTATTTGTATGCCTCCCCCCTGCCCATTTCTCTGAAAATTTGAGTCTCAAACTTTCAGTTCTAAATCCGATCTTGTCAGGTCTTTTGGTCACAGCAATGACAAAGCTGATTAAAATACATTATTATGGGAGAAGTATTATCTCTATTTTAAGGTAGAATGGAAGGGAAACAACCTGGTATCAGATTAGGGTTTCAGCTGAAGGTGTCTACTAAACAAGAGATATTATAAGCATTAAATAAAATATTACATATACTTATTATCAATACATGCAAGCAACAGTGCCATTTTTTTTTTTTTATGTAGCCTTATTTTCCCCTTAGTTGTTTAAAGACAGAAAACATTTCTTTTTTAATCTCTATCACCAAGGTCTATGTTATGGTTTGGATGTGAGGTATCTCCCAAAGGGTATTGTGATACAATGCAAAAAGTTTCAGAGAAGAAATAGTTGGGTCACAGAAGTCTTAACCCAATAAGTGAATTAATCTTCTGATGGGATTGAGTGGTAACTGAAGCAGCATGTGGGGTATGGCTGGAGGTGAGGGCGTATCTGGCAAGCAAAGATCTTTCACTTTGCTTCCTGATCATCATGTGAGCTGCTCTCCTCCACTGAACTCTTCCACCATGGTGTTCCACCTCACCTTAAGCCCTGAGGAATGAAGTCTGCTGTGGATTAAGATCTCTGAAACTGTGAGCCCCCAAATAAACTTTTCCTACCCTATAGTTGTTCTGGGCAGATCCTTTTGTCACAGTGGTGAAAAAGCTGACCAAGACAGTCTAGAATAGCATGTAGCAATAAAAACTTAATTGCCTGAATAGCATTTTTACATTTTAACACTTGTTTTCCCTTACCATTATCTTTCAATTTTTTTTTTTTTGGAGCCCCCTGTGATTCAGTTTCTTGTTTGTATTAGCTCATCTAAAATTTTCCTTCTACTCATTTACAGTGCCACCAACCATTAAGCTTCTCTGTATTCATGCATTTTAATGACTTTCTGCTAACCATTCATCCCATTTTGGGCAAAGGTATTAAATATTTTTATTCCTGAAAATTTTAGGCATTAACAATAGTAGTTACTGTGAGCTGCAGAGAAAGGGGTATTTCTTGATAGCATCCATTTTATTTGCTCATGCTATTTCATACTTTCAGCCAGTTCATTCACTTCTTATCAAGAGGTCACAAGTTCTAAATTTGATTCCAAGTTATTACAATGTAAAATCAAGCCTAAATGAAAACAATTACCATTTAAATCCTTATGTCTATAAACCTGCATCTTATAAAATGTAAGATTAAACTACAGAAGATATATTTTCTTTGCCTTGATGACAATGTTAGGAAACACTTTGAACTGTGTGAAAATATATTTTTTTCTTTGCTGTACAATGAGAACAAATTAAAGGATAGTCATTTAATACCATTGAGACACATATATATGTATGTGTGTGTACACACACACACACACTCAACCCCCTTCAGGGGGATTTTAAAGATAAACTTTCCAAATTACACCTCCAAGCCTTCTACCAATTCTGCCATAACCTCTGACATTATGCAAAACTGAAGCTCAAGGAGTTCATTGTATTAAAAAAAAAAAAGTTGGGCTGGAGTTGTGGCTCAGTGGTAGAGTAGTTGCCTAGAATGTGTGAGGCACTGGGTTCAATCCTCAGTGCCACATAAAAATAAATAAAGGTATTGTGTCCATCTAAAAACACTAAAAACATTTAAAAACAATTAAAAATATATATTGAAAAAATTAGAAAGCAACTGAATGCAATGTTTAACGGTAACTCAGAAGCCGAACAGGATTAACTAAGGGCAGGCAACATGGAACTCATGAGCACTCTTCATTTCAGCAGGAAATCTTCATAACTAGAATAGATATTAAAGGAAGTGAACATTTTACCCAACTTTATTATTCAGGGAATAGAACTTGTTTACTAACAGTATCTTGGTAATGAATTTTTCTTTGCATTAAAATAGGCCATTTTCAAAATACAACCTGGTAGGAAAATAGAAGTTAAACACTTCCCAGCAGAATTGATGAACATATGTTTAAAAGTTTTTCGACAGAAAAAGTAAGTCATTGGGTAAAGGATATATTACATCCTTTTGATTCAATGTTATGTCACACAAAGTATAAAAACATAAAAAGGTAACTTCTAAATCTACTGAAAACAATGAGTTTAAGTCTTTTTAAAGGCAAAATTCTTATTTCTTTAAAATTTAGGTATAAATTAGTATCAGTATATGTACATATTGCCCAAACATAAATATTTACACTTCTGAAAGTGGAATTGTGGTCCTTGCTACCAAGTTAGAGCACATAATTTTCTGAACTAAGGTAATATACTTTTTTTGAATTCCCTTGAAATGAATTAAATTTGTACAAATGAGACTTCAATGAGTTTGAAGAAGGCAAACATACAGCACTCATGAAAAACCGGTCATATTTAACACATTAACCTGAAGAGCACTAATGTCATGGTGTGTCTAAGGTCAACTGGGTACTCTGGTTGAAATGATTCACACTTAGACCATTAGAAGGTCTCACACAGTCAATTAAATTGAACTGATGATTCTTTGATAGATAACTTCTAAAACTACTAAAAACTAGGAGTTGAGTCTTTTTAAAGGCAAAATTATCTTATTTCTATAAAATTTAGGTATAAATTAGTATCAGTGTATGTACATATTGCCCAAACATAACTATTCACACTTCTGAAAGTGGAATTGTGGTCCTCACTACCAAGTTAGAGCACCTGATAGGATATGTCATTCCTGGGGTGCAATAAAAATAACTCCTGATAAAAATGCAGATTCTGCATCTAAAACATGACTCATTTGGTAAATAAGATTTTAAAAATATAAAAGAGAAAAAACCCTACTCTAAACGCTCAAAGATCAAATCAGCATTAACTATATCCCAAGAAATTTCACTGTGAGGCAGAGATAAAGTTCATAGACTAAAACAACTCCCCAATGTCAATATTTCTCTGATGGGACTGTGAACTCTGTAGAATGGCATTTTATTTAACAGACAGCATGGAATTCATACATATCCATTATCAGTGCCTTGAAAATCAAACAACTTTAAAAGTTAGCAGCAGTTTCTGCAAGTACAAAAATACACATTTATTACATAACATGTGGTAATAAAATTTGTCAAGATATATTATACAAACTCAAAGCATTTTAAAGCATCAGTCTAATATATTACAGATTGATGAAGTATAATAAAATGACATGTAACCTGCTTCAAATCATATAATACTTTACAGCAATATTAACAGACTATTCACATTAAGTATCTAAGGGAGCAGAGTGGGAATAGTCATTAAAGAACCTTAGCAACTATTTTCTTCTATGCTTCAAATTAGGTGGGTAATTTTTCTATTTGTCAATATGAAAGAAAAAAAGGCTATAACTATTATTTTTGGTAAGTACAGAAGTAAGTTATTCCAGAAAGACACTCTAAAAGCTTCATTCACATCTTGCAATTCTGCCAGTAGTATGCCTAAGGGTAAGGGGAGTCCCTGCTGACTTAATATATTAATTATACCATAAAAGATGCATATGGACATATAGTATTAATATGGGAGTGGTTGGTTATAAGGTGAAATCTACTTCACACATCTGTGACTGAGATGGCCAGTGTCATAAGCTCTTTGGACCTACAGGTGCTACCTCTAAGGGACATGACCCTGTTTGCCCTAATCATTTTAATCATACCCTTTCCCCCACACCATGTTCTTGTCTCTTGACTCATGGTTTATAGATCTATATTTCATATTATATCCATAGACCTTTCTTCTCTTTCTTTAAAGGTTATAATGGTTACATCCCCTCACCTGGAAATAAATTATCAGGCCTCCCTAACCAATTTGGAGCATATCACTAAAAAGAGATGTGCATCTTCCTTCATTCTAACTATTCACCTATAAGAAGTTGCTTAGAACCAACAGGTTTGGATTTAGGGAAAGGTTTTACATGATTTCCTCCATTACCATACATGCTTTTCTTCTTAATGCTTTGATTAGTGGTCTTTTTTTCTTGCCTACTTATTTAAAAACATTCCACAGAAAGTGGATGGTTTCTTTATACCATTCCCTTTTCTCTCTGTCTCTGATTCTTCAATTTATGATATTTTGGTCTTCTCAGAACACTGATCTCAGACTTGTTGACACAGGTAGGCTTCTACAGAGGGCACTTTCTCTAGCCCTGTGCATGCATCTCTTAAAATCTCATGACAGGATCAATCCCACGTTTTAAAAAGGAAAAACCTCCAAAATATTAGATGCTGAAAATTTTAGTATACAGTTTTTGACAAGTTGTCTCAATAGAAAGAAGTGTTTTGTTGTCCTAAGTATTAGCAATGATTATCCTTATATTACCTATCCCAGATATTTTATAAAAAGAGGTCATAATAATTACTGTCTTTATGTTATTATTAGCTAAGTTTCTGTTCTTGCAGACATCAGACTCTTACTGTGGTTAAATGTCTTTGGTTAAATGTCTGTCCCCATCATCACACACCACTACAGGCCCTGCATCTGGGCTGTCCACATCTTCCACAGTTATAGAGTTGGTTGAGGCCCTTCCCCAAGCCATGGGACCAGCAGAAGAGTGCCCTCCCCTCTCTCCTCTCTCGTGGGACTTTGTACAAAGCTTGAGTTTGCTTTCCACTAGGCTGAATGGAGAGCCACAGAGTTTCTCTGAATCCTGACAGGGATAAGAACTATACCATTGGGCTGTCTGCATAGCTCCAAATCCTTCAGCTACCTGGAAGGGTATGTCTTTCTGTCTTTCTTGCAGTGAGTTGGCATGAGAAGCATGAGGAGGTAACTCCAAGGGTCCTTTTAGGGAACAGATTTTCTTTTCCTCTGGTCTGGCTGCCTTTACTTTCTTTTTGAGAGACCAGTTTTTCAAACTGGCCACACCATTTCTCAACCATGTGCTGGGATGAAGAGTTACAGAATGCATTTGTGAATGCCACTCTACAGTATTGTCCTTTTTTGTATAAGCTGGTTGATTGCTGGCCTGCCCTGTTGAGGGACCAGGCATTCCAGAAATGAAGCTAGAACTACTAAAGTCAGAAGAAAGCTCTTCTTGCTTTCTTTGAGCCTGAAAAGTGCAATCTATTGGAGAGGAAGTTTCAGTGGGCGTGAACACAGACTGTTCAGAAATTTGAGAAAAAGCACTGTCCTGGGAGCTTACTGAAGAGCCAGATGGGGAAGTGCCTGGCGAAGATAAGCTGGAATAGCTGGCTCGGGGGCCAAGGTTTAGTCTAGGGGGTAAAACCTTCTCAGTGCTTTGGTTTGTGGAACTGCTCTTGCCCACCTCAATCCCCATGACTAAACTCTGATTGATAAGCTTTTGCCCCTCCATTTGCAAAGACTTATGCCGTTTGAGATAATCCTCCTCTCCATGCAAGAGACCAGCTTCACAGCTGGTTTTATGTTGTTTCTTTGAATAAATCCCTCGGAGATAGGTCAGTTTGCAGTTCTGGTCATCTATGTTAGGCTCTGAGCAGCGCCGATGTGTCCTTGAACTCTTGGGGGCATCTGCTGTGTGTGGTGGGGAGTATCCAGATGAATCTGGATCAAAGGTTTGGTTCCTGGAATGATCCCGGGAGGGTATATGACTATAAGATGCCACAGAAATGGCCATGGGCTTAGACTTGGTGAAAAGTTTCACATGATTTCCTTCATTACCAGAGAAGCTTTTCTTCTTAATGTTCTGATTTGTGGCATTCTTCTCATTGACATCAGTGCCTGTTACTGAACATGTCCTACCCTCTTCCTGGAGAGACTGATTCTGCTTCAGACAGTCCTCATCTTTTTGAGAAAGGATTACATCACAGCTGGACTTACGTAGCTTTTTCTGGTAAAACTCCCTGAGATAGGAAAGCTTTGAGTCTAGGTAGTCAATGCTTGGTTCTGAACAGCGGCGGTGTCGCCGCAGGATTTTTGGAGCATCTGTTGTAGTTGTGGACAGGTAGCTGGGTAAACAAGTGCCAGATGGGGCCCTGGCATGTTCCCCCAGTGCAGCCTTTCTATACATTCCTGAAATGTTCACCGGCTTTGTCTCAAGAGGCTGCTTCATTTGAATGTCTTCATCTTTAGAATGGTCTAAGTCAAAATCACTCAAGGTTAAAAGACCTTCCACCTCAGGCTGATCAAGGTCATAGTCACTTAGGGTTAAGACAGAGTCCATACTTCTGCTACCCTGACCAAGTTTCTTTACCAAATCACTACATGGAGCATCAACATCCTCATTTAATTCATTTTCCAAGCTGTCATAGGAGGAGTCATTCAGTTGGAAGCAAGAGATATCTGTCAAAAAAAGCAAACTATAATCAACAAATTTACTTACCACAAATATAGCCCATGCTGCCATCAAACTATGCTTAGATTAATGTTCTTTACATGTAGTGTTCAAATTCCTACTCTCAAGAAGGAAAAAGGATGTTTTGCAGTCTTCCCAACTGCTAGTGCAGAAGAAATAAAAACCTGTTTGGTATACTAGATTTATCTCAGTTACTAATGAAATGGAATTTCAACAAACTAAGACCAAAAATGTTGAAAAATAGGAAGGAATTAATGGCAGGTATACTTATATTTGAATAAGACTATCTTCTAACATAGATTGCTGGTGATTACACATAATTAACTCTAGTCTTGAGGACATCATTAATTAACCCTACCAATTTCTCTTTTTCAAAGTTCTTTAAAGTTAAGTTCATTACCTTACTTAATCTTTACAACAACCATAGACATTATTATCCACATTTAGATATTGTTATCTACATTTTATAAATGAAGGTATTGATGTGTGGAGGCACAGAATAACTGGCCAAAGATATATAAGAATTCATATTTTAGAGATTATATACCTTTGAATTAAGATTCCCCCAATGATCTAGTTGTTTTCAAATAGTTTCATAGAACAAAGAATAGCATCTCAGGGTCTACTAGAAGGAAGAAAAAACTCAGGCCTGGCTCTGGGCCTTCTATTCCAGTTTCAATCACTGCAGTCTATACATATATATAAAATACACACACACACACATATAAATTATACACACATATATAAAGTCTGTATATATGTGTGTGTATACACAAACACACACACACACACACAGGTATATGTGTATGCATAAGAATGTGTTAGGTTTCCTCAAAGTTTTATTTAAAATAAAGCCTTCAACCATCATGGCACAGCACGCAACTCACTTCCTGAACTTCTTAACCCCAACATGCTGTTAACATACCCTGACCTACTAGCAGGCCTTCTAAAGAAGGAAAGAGAGCCCAGGGCCTTACTGATCTAGGTCAGAGGCTCCCTTCATTCTCAGAGCATCAGGACAACCACTGTCCTAGCATCTTCACAGACATCTGTCTAGTTCTTACATAAACCAATCCACTTCCTCACAATACCTGGGACATTCTCTCTAGTGTCACATCTCACTGAAACTTCTCCCAGGAGGGAAGTGATTTCTTCTCCAAATATCCTACAGCAATTTTCAATCAGAAATTGTATAAGCAGGGAAACCTAAACAAAAAAGGACAAAATTAAAGTGCCACTTTTCATGTCATATGTTTATAAATGTTCATATATGAATCCTGATTTTTTTAAAATAAGAAAATGCAAAAATTCTGAGAAATTCCTTTTTTAAAAAGTATATAAAAGCATACTACTTGTATATTTTAAAAGTTTATCCTAAAAATCTATAATACTTTCAAGAGTAGTATGGACACAGAAACTAATTTTAGTGCACTAGTTAAAATTATTATTTTTGGTTTTGGTTTAATGATAACCCTTAATACCAGTAGCTCCTTCTTCAAAATGAGGGTAATTTCAAGTATTCTCTATAGGGCATTTGGGAGTAGAGAAATATATATTGCTATTAAACTTCATAAAATACCAAGAGATAAAGATTTATAAAAGTATTTCTTGTATAAAGAGCAGGTTTGTTATAAGTTTGGGAGGAGAGTTCATGAAGGAGAGAACTTGAGAGAAAACTTATGGTTTTACTATCTAGTCTATATCCATGTACTGTCTTGTATTATACTCCCTAACTGGAGGCACTTTGGGGAAGAGGAAAGAGTTACTACTGAACTTTGTGCCTCCCCTGAGACGTATTAGAACCTTTCTGTATTTCCTTATCCTAAGAGCTAAGGCCAAGGGGCAGGAGAAATGTTGGGAGCAAAGGGAACTGATATTTCCAAACCCCTTATTAATAACTAGGCATTTACAGGGGTATGATTTCTAGCAACTATTATGTCATCACCACCTCCTTATTTTAGATGAGGATGTTGTATATTTGGTAAGAGGTGGGTCTGAAAATTGAACTCTGGCTTGTCTTATTCCAAAGTCCTTATTTATTTTTTAAACAACTGCTTTCTTATCATCCTGTGGTTTCAGTTAGTTCTACTGGTTAGCTTCCTTAAAGGGAAAAGAGAAATAACCGCTATAACTTTTCTGCTTACATCACCTTCCTATAGTCTATCAGAATAGGAAAGAACACTCCATAGTCAGTAACTGAAACTTATAACTCAAATTTCAGTGTAACTATATACATAAGCTATTTTAAAAATTGTCTTTCAGAGTACATTTTCAAAATGGGGACACAGTCCCCAGTCCCTTAAGGCATAAAAATGAAAAATTTAATTACCTTTTTTGTAAATTCACTTTCTAGTTCTGCGCTGGAGGAAGTAGGAGGCCAAAGAATGCTTGGAGCTACACATACTGCTAAATTAAATGCAGTCATCTGATTGGATGAGGAATGTTGCTCAATGTTACGTAATACCCCAAACAGATACTTTAGGAGAACAACATTGGCTCTTGGAAGCTGGTCTAGTAGCCTAAAGACAGAAAAGAAATACACTTTTTAAGCAAGATGTTTTATTAAAAATCCTATAATAAAGACAAGGCAACCTTTATTTTTTATGGGGAACCATGAAAATCAAAAGGGATTTTCCAGAGTTTCAGTCATGTGGTACTATGCAAAGAAAGTACAGAAAAAGGGAGAAAATAAGCACTGGAAATTTTTTTGTTTATATATTATCTTTATAATTTAATGAAAAACTGTAGAAAAATGTCTCAGAAAAATGCTGCCTGAAATATTTCCCCTGAAACTAGTACAATGTGTTTTAACTTAGGTAAATATTGCAACATTTCAAAATATTCTCACAAAAAGCTTTTTGATAATGTGCTTCATTATTTTCAAGTAGCAACACAGGAATGCTTTCTGTTGGTGAGAACCCCAAATTAATCCAGTAGGACTTCTAGGTCTGAGAGCCCGGGCCCTGTTCTAGTTGCTTCCAAGGTCAGTTTTCTTCTACATCTGTTATTGGTATTACTCTCACATATAAGCCAAGCTTATATTGGTGTATTTTCTATTGTTCCCATTTTAAGGACTTTTAAGTGATCATTCACTGAAAATTATTTTTACTACCAGTGTGAGTGTGCATATGTATGATATACATGCTGATATTCACGACTCTTTTTTTCTATAAGAACCTGAAAACTTGAAGAAGGTAGTCTAATTACTACTGTACAAATAACAAAGGCCTTTCTTCAGCACAGAGGACTGACAAAGAGCAAGGTGATAGGGATGTTATGAAAGACTCTGAGATAGATCAGAAGATAGGGTGTAAATCAAACATCTAGCATATGATTTTGGGTTACCTGATTTTATAAGGGCCTTTGAGCTATTTTACAAAACTCTTTAAATTGAAGATAAATTGAACTGACAACAGTTACCTAGTACTTGTTTATAGAATAAAATCCTGTCTGGTGGAGAAAAAGATTGACTTATCTTCATCACTGCCCTGGTAGAAAAAGCCAGATTTGTATGTCTCTGTAAATTCATTTCAGTATTTCTGATCCAACTGTTATTAAGTTTTGGTACTTTGAAATCTTCTTTGAACTGGATGTAACATCTTAATGATTCCTTCATTAATAATTTAAATAAAATCTTTCACAGGTTTATTTTATATTTGCACTAGTGTTATGATTTTATCTTTTTTAAAAAATAAACATCATTTATCAATTTGTAGAACATAATGTTTTGGACAAAGTATAAAATTTGAAGCTTACTATATATTATTGGTTCACACCAAACTATAATGAAAATGGATGCAGCATTTTGTTATGGCTTTTGTTTCTGGTGTCTTCAATAACTATACAACATTATACTGTTAAAAGATCTTAATAGTAGCATGTAATTGAAAGTTGTTCTAGATAAAACTAAATATACAAATAAATGATTAGGATTCAAGAATTTTCACAGTACTGGCATATTGCTTTTGTTAGTGGACACTTCTTTCCTGTTTTCGTATAATGTAGGACATGTGGGTAGAAATGCAGTAGAGAATTCTACTGGAAATCTCTGTGTATGAGAATAGAAGTGCGTTCTTTGTGATCAGACTGTGACTTGGCTACTCCCTTTTTTCCACGGTACTTCTTAAGGAGTCAACTGCCCTCCAAATACATTTTTATAGCACTGATTAAACTGTATTGTTATTGTTATTCTCAGTTTACCTCTATACTCTACCAGTCTGTGATTACCTACAGAGGAAACAAATCATTTTATCTGCATGACTCCAGTTACTGAATTTAATGTATGTGGAGTTTTCTGATTAGTTAAATAAGTTCCCAGATTCAGATCATAAATTACATACTGGACATACAATACTAACTAGTAGAATAATGAATTTTAGCTCCTATCAGATTCAGATATATAGAAGGTATATAATGTTCAAGTATTCCATGTTAATAAGATCAGGGAGAAAGAAACAGCCACAACAGATTGAACCCAGGGGCATTTTACCACTGAATTACATCCCAAGTTGTTTGTGTGTGTGTGTGTGTGTGTGTGTGTGTGTGTGTATGTGTGTGTGTGTGACACAGGGCATTGCTAAATTGCTAAGGCAGGACTTGAATTTGCTATCCTCTTGTTTCAGTCTCCCAAATCACTGTTAACAGGGTGTGTACCACTGTGCCCGGCAGGAAAAAAAAAAAAAAAAACTATTTTAAAACTGGTCCCCATGGATAAGACTTTAAAAATTGTCATTTTAATAAACAAGCTTAAAAATAAGTATTTCTATTTTTGAGAATGACCAAATTATAAAAACTACCTTTGAATTGTATTTATTTTCTCTTCATCATTTCCTTGATCCATTACACAGACCCAGTGATCATAGAGATCTGATGAAAAAATACTTCCTGGAATATTTCGTAGAAAATCCTTAAACAAACAAACAAAAAAACAAATATTTTAAATCATTCTCATTGAAAATAGGTGTTGGATAAATTAGAAAAGTTAAGTCTTCTTGTTCTTTTAAGTACACAGAACTCTGTGCCAACTCTCTATTAACTTGTACACACAGATCACATGCTTTGATTTTTTTTTTCCTAACAAGAAACCACTGGGATAATTAAAGTTGGGATTATGGTAGGAAAAATAAAAGGCAATCTATTTGTGATGAAACCTCCTATTTTGTATACATTTTAGCAAATTAGTACAATGTGACAGGATCTGGCAGTAAACTATCCTAAATCCTTTTTTCTATTTTTCCTTTTTTTAAATAGCTAGTTCAAGGAAAGGCACCAAGATATCTGTGAGGTTCATAAGTTGGTAACATTCAGTCACTCTATATGTAATTATTTATATATGTGATACAATGTTTGATGTGCTTGGAATAGAGAAATAAATAAAAGTCTGTTATTTTAAAACAATACCAGTGGTGGTAATAATGTTCTACAACTTTTCTTCCTGTATTACCCCACTGAAGGTATCTCAAGTATTTCAGGCGAGACAGAATTCTAGGTGATGTCTGGGTTCTAGGAACTTGGGAACAGTACTCCTAGTATATTATTTTCCTGGAAACTCTATTCTGCTGTCATCTTGGCAGGGCTAGGTGTAGTAAGACAGACTGTAACACAAGCAGGATATAACCATGGGCATTGCTGTTTGACCTTTATTTACAAAAAGTTTAAAGTAAACTAAATGTGGTCCTGGTCCTAAAGAGTTGGTTGTGGCTAATTCTGTGTTGATTTTTGGAATGGCATTAATAAGACCAAGGTTTCAGTCTGATCTCCACCTTGGTAAACTGTAGGCAGAGAGAACTCCATTTAGTATCTGAGTACTATACCCATGGTTGATGATCCTCTTGAAAATTCCTGTTTTAAATATTGAGATATATGAAAATCTGAAATTGGGCAATTTTAACTTGCTAGGAAAATAAATCAATAATTTTAACCATGTGCCTTACAGAAGGCAGCAATGTACAACCTGTTACTTACAGCTCAAATATTATTACTAATACAGGAATTGTGGCAGCTTATTGCTACAGTCAGCTAATTATGTGGGCGTCTCCTCCTTTGCTAGAAGCTCTTCCAGGACTGGGACAGATCCTCACCTACTTTCTGCACATCATCATCAAGTTCGGTCCCAGCCAGAGAAGAGGCCATTAGTGAACTCTTTACTGTGTCATATGGTTAAATATTAATGAGGGACAAGGAAGTCAATCAACTATAATTGAGATGCTCAGATAACTTTAAGAACTTCTTTGTGGTCATGTTACTCTACTACCATAATTTTAAAAAATAGAGTGGCTAATAAGAAAAGGGAGTAATTCAAAGTCTTCCTCTGTCTAGCTGTTTTATTATATCTTCCAGTAAAAAATGTGATTCAGCTATGTCGTCACAAAAGTTACCTCTTTTTGGGTAAATCTACTGAGTTTTCATAATTCCAAACTAATTTTAGTTGCTGTACTCACTTTAAAATTCAGATTGGGAGAGGAAAAATCTGTTTCTTAAAAATGGGGTAGTGACAATAGCTCTTTTTAAATCTCGGTGGAAAACACTCTTATGATCTGTCTTGAAGAAAAACATCATTAAATCTTAAACCTACACTTGAAAGATAATAACTCGTAACATCTCAATGAACTCTCCCACAGCTGGAATAACAAGTTACGAAATAAAACCACCATTACAGCTGACAGGAATGTGAGAGCTGGTTCTGAATTACAACTAGTAACTTAAAGCATTGAACTGAAATTCTCCCTTTCAAAACCAGGACCTAGGTAATGAAAACTTTCTAATTCATCTGAGATTCTATAGATTAAATATGAACTTTTCATCAAAGATCTGAGAGATCAAAGTTATAGTGCCTCAAGAAATTTTTGTCCAATTTTAGTTTGAAGATTTAAGCTTATATTTGAACAAAACCAATTGAATTGAAAAAATTAAAGGAAAACCTAAGTACTGCTTCAAAATAGTCTTAAAAACAAGAAAACTTTTGCAAAACAAATTTTAAATTGATAGTTATCTTCTTTCCTAGAAACTATTTTGAATTAGATGGGAGTAAAACAATTACATAACAAAACGAGTTACTCAGAACCCATTTAACACAACTCTTTAACCATTAGTGTCATTGTTTTTGTGTTTTGCATGTTTTTGGACAATTAATATTCCTGTAATTTGAAACACAAATTAGCTCTTCTAGAACATGCTTTGCAATAGACTTAATAATTCAGCAAGGAACTATTAAGAATTGTGGTGATGCAAAGAACATGGCAAGAAAAATTTTCTAACTTAGGCTTTACCTTTCTAAATTAAGAGATGGGTGAAAATCCAATTAAATGAAAAAAATTCATGACACACACACACACACACACACACACGCACGCACAGCATGCCATGTATATCTTTATTGTATTCCAGGTTTGGACAGTAATTAAAACTCTGTGCAAAACAGATTAGATTACTCTAGTTCAAATACCTCTCAAATGATATTTTATTGCATAAATTGACAGCAGGGTTTGTTTAAGGGTAGACTTGGCCCATTTATCAAGAAATGCCTGATTTTTAATATGAAGTTGGTTATATAAGCAGCTGGCCTCTCAGCTGGAGTATGAGTTTTCCTTTGTTTTCATTCTGTAGGTCCTAGGCTTGCAAGGTGGGACCATTACTACCCCTGGCCTAAATATATCCCAACCTCTTGAGAGATGGGAGTCTGAGACATGTGTTTGGCAACCATTGCTGGGGTCAAAAGCTCTGCTTAAAGTTGATTTTTTGACCTGAGGTTTCCCAAAAATATAGGGCATTTCCAGGAGTGTAGGGAAGAAAATATTAGAACTCTCTATAGGTGTGACTTAAGTAAACATGGGTGAAGAGTAAGAATCAATGTGGTAAAGAGAAAAGAAGGTCCAGATGTTGCAGTCATTCCTACTCCACTTATAAAGTAGAAAGAATTAGAGAATGAAGGGAAGGAATATTTGTGGGCATGATTATGGAAATAGAATTTTCAGTGGCCTTACTAACTTTGTTTTAGTTGTAAGGCAAATATTTGTTTATTATGGTAAACTTCCGTGACTATCTTCAACAGCTTAATTAAAGTTTACTTTTTAAAACATTGTCTTCATTAGGAAAGCAGTGAGATAAGAAAACATGGTAAACATACTGTGTGTATTTTGACTATTTTAAATTTTAATTAAATTTTCATTTTGTGGCAGAAGTGAAGATAAGATTATTGCAGGAGGGAAATAATTAAAGCATATCTGATATGTCATATTGGTGATAGCTTTAAATGTTGTAATGTTTTTTTAACACTTACATCCCACAGGTATTATGTCTCTTTGCAAACAGAAATAATGTTAATAATGAAACAAACTATGTATCTTGTGCCTATGTGATGGGGTGCATAAAGGGTGAACTTTTCTTACCTTTAAGACAGACGCTATCACAAAAATAGATTCACAGTCTAGGTGCACTTCAATTCCAGAATTCAGTTTCTCTTTTAGCTCTCTGCAGGACTTCATATTGGCTGATTGTCTGAAGATGCCTTTTGTGAGGGGGCCTTTTTGATTAAGAAAGAAAAGCATGTCCTATGGGAAAACAAAGGGAAAAAACCCTAAATGGTACTTCATACATACAGAGGTCAGTTTGAAAGCCCTGAAGGATTAGAGCCAGATGGATAGCTAGAAGGATTCAGAATCACCAACTTTTTAGAGCATAAAGCAGTGATTACTAGGTGCTGGGAACATGGTGGGGCTGGGAACATGGTTGGGGAGATATTGACCCAAGCATACAAAATTTTAGTTAGACAGGAAGAATGAGTTCAATTGATTTATTGTATAACATGGCAACTACAGTTAATAACGATGTATTCTTGAAAAATTGCTGAGTAGTTTTTAGTGTTCTCTAATTTTGCTTCTATCTGTGTACCCTGTACTTTTAGTGTAGGAAGTAAAGGGAGTTTTGGGCACAAGCAATCTATGAGATTTGAAAGCTATGCCACTGATTTACTGTGTAATCTTGGGTAAGATTCTAAAGTTTCTTTCCTTTTTAATTTGTAAAGTAAGAATGATGATGATAATAATTATTCCTCCCTTAATTTGTTGTGAAGGATAAACAATAAAGTGACTTGTCCTAGTGTCTGGTACTTAGAGTGCACAATATAGCATAAAATGCCACACATTTACTACAATGTTAGAATACTGGATATTCAATAAATGTTATTTATCAGTGATTACTTAATACACCAACTGGAGAAGATGCAAACTTAGTGCTTTTCGTTAGACTCTTTCTATAAGAAAAGATAACTAAATGCCAGGGGATACATCTTGATGTCCAAACACTTGAAATATAAGTAAACCAGTTTTTAAAACTTCAAGAAAGGAAAGATTGTGAAGTTTCTTCTATTAAAATGTTAAAAATAAGGCTTTTCAGAACACTCTGGAGTTCAAGAAAGGATTTGTGGGGATAATGTAGATTCTTTGTCTACAGAGCAAATTCTAATTTATTTGAACAGGTTTAATATTGCTATTTCTTGGGCCAGTTTACTAGATCATCTCTTCCTTATGATTCTATAATCGCTCAATCATATTTTAAATTTTTTCAGTAAAAATGAAGATTCTTAGCAAAAGGCAGGGTTATCTATAATTTTCCAATTTGAGGAGAGATTTACCTCCTAGGGTTCTCCCTTCCCAAACTTTCCCATTAGCTTACCTTCCCAAACAACACTCACCAAGACAGGTTTTGGCAGGTTGTCATTCTCACAAACATCTGGGAGAGACACTCCAAAGAGCTGTCCCGACATAGGAGATGTTGGTGACGTAGGCAAGTTGTCCAGATGAGTGCTAGAACCCCGCCAAAAGGCCCAGTGTATGATAGATCTTCTCCTTTTAAATGTCTTCTGACCAGAATCTAAGAAGTGAAATTATTAAGAAAACTTGTTTAATTCACTTAACCTTATTTCTAGAATTTCTATTTTATACTATTACAATGGCTCAAAGAGAGAAAATGCTTATAGATGTTCTTTATTACTGACAATACAGTCTATAAAATTTCACTATAGTATTTTACAAATTAAGGAAGAATTAAGTGTTTGGGTTCTTTTTCTACCTGTTTTTGGGACGTTACCAGACTGTTGGCTTGAGTTTTGGCACTAAATTTTCAAAGGTGAAAATTTCAACTGTAAAACTTAAAGCAAAAAGTAATTCATACCAATACATTTTCCCACTTTATTTATTTTTGTGGTACTAGGAATTGAATTAAGGACCTCACACATGGTAGGCAAGTGCAGTATTACTATGCTATACCCCAGCTCACATTTTTTCCAGTTTAAAGATTAGGGGCTGGGATTGTGGCTCAGTGGTAGAGCACATTTGTGAGGCGCACTGGGTTCAATTCTCAGCACTGCATATAAATAAATAAATAAATAAATAAATGTCCATCGACAACTAATAAAAAATATTAAAAACAACGAGTAGGGGCTGGCTCAACAGTAGGGCGCTCATGTAGCACGTGCGAGGAGGCCCTGGGTTCGATCCTCAGCACCACATAAAAATAAACAAAATAAAGGCACTGTGTCCAACTACAACTAAAAATATAAATATTTTTAAAAAAATGAGTAGTCATACAAAAAAAAGCTGAGGATTGCATTAGAATTAAATAGTGAGAAAAAGCAAGGAGGAAGAGCGAAGGAAAAGGGGGAAAGGAGCTGGGAGAAGGAATTATTTCTATTAAGTTGTTTTCCAGAAAAAAACAAAGCTTTATCATGGATGTCTCACCACTCTACATTTGAAAACAGAGATAGAAAGCTGATGTCCTAAAATTTTTCCTTTCTTTGCAAATGTAAAAACTCTCACCTATTTTTTCAGTTCCTAACTTTATGCACAGCTACAAACATGAGTGAATCTTGTCCTGGCCGCAGTGAATTTATAATCTAATAAGAAACAAGGCTGGTGGTGGTGAGGAGAAAAACAGTATATTAATAAATAAAATGTTAAAAAGGGGGAAACAAAATATCAAAGGCATTCAGATGAAAGCAAATCACATCTACCCAGTAGGAGGGAGAGGAGTAATTCTGGAGGCATTTGCATTCCATTTGGATTTTGAAAGATCAAGATTTCAACAGATGGAACATCTGGCACCATGCTCTGCATTAAAATTGAGAAGAACTTTATGTGGAAAAAGATATCATTAGCAAAATAAGCAGAAGAAAGAAAGATGGACAATGAATTATGACTTCACAACACCATAGTGCCAAAACATTTTTGGTGTCATTTGTGTTTAACTTTAATATGAAAGCTAATGGGTTTTCATATAATATGAAAATAAAAAAAACCTTTAAAGTTCCTTTATAAAAGTGCATACAGCACTGAGTTTCTTCTTATGGCTTTTAGCATGAGGATAGGCGGTAAGAGAGAGTGCCAGAAAGAAGAAAACCTGATAGTGGAAGCCCAAGTACTGTAAATAAATTCTGTCCACATTCTGGCTGCTACCTGAAGTAGGCATTTGTGGGGCAGATTCTAAACATCTTGCAATTAAGGTTAACAGAGCCACAATGCCACTCATGGTACGATGCAAGATGCAAGTGAGAGTGAATGGGATTGGTCATCAAACTCTGGCTGTGTGGCATTGTTTATGTGACAGACATACCTAGCACTGATGCTTAACTCTCCAAAATTCCCTGATAATGCAACTGAAGAAGATGATCCAAGAACAGAGTCAGCAGTGTCAAATACTAATTTCAATAAGTCTTTTATACTACTTGCTATAAAGTGATGCAGTACTTCATTTGTTTCAAAATAGCCAAAAATGAAAAAGGCCAAGTTTTGTGAGGATAAGCTAACAAGCAACACCTTATCAAATGGCCTTATGATGACCATGATTCACCTTACTCTTATTTAGATTACAGTAAGTATGTCATCTCTGTACACTCAGGTGTGCAAAAGTTCGAAAGTCAGTAGCCTGGTCTGACTCCTGGTTCAGACACTCATTTGGGCAAGTCATTTAACCTCTTTCTTCAACTTTAAAAGGAAAAGGATCTGACTTATCTCTCAAAAGTCTTATTGAGAGGGTTATGTAAGATAATGTGTGAAAAACACTATTTTGCATAGGGCATGGGTCAAAGTGATCTTGAGTAAAGCTGTCATAATACCAATCTCCTCTCAGCACCCACTCTCCATTCATTTAGAAGCCTTTAAGAGGTATGCAGACATGAAACAATATCATTCTTCTCCTCAACTAAAGCATTTTCTTCCTATTCTGACATTCCCAATATCCACATAAACACACATACACACACGAAACCCTTTCTAAGATCAGGGAGTTTCTGTATGTCTAACAATCTGTGCAAATGTTTGTTTAATATATATGTTATATATACATTTAGTACCTGTACTCAAGTCTGGTATGTGCATATTTAACCTGGTTTTACTATTTCCAAAACTATCATATTAGGCTTTTAGCTTTCATGCACTTTAAAAAAAATTCATTTATTTATTTATAAATGGATCTTTTATTTCATTTATTTATTTATATGCAGTGCTGGGGATCAAACCCAGGGCCTCACACATGCTAGGCAAGTGCTGTACCACTGAGCCACAACTCTAGTCCCTAATGCACTTTTAAAGAATGTTCTATCAATAAATTACATACTCAGATATCTCATGAATGTAGACAGAGGATAAAGTAGAAATTGAGTCCTTTATTTTATTCTAAAGACTTTCAGCTGCAGCCTTGCCTTTTGTTATGTTGTGTACAACATTCAATATGAAAGTTCAGATTCCCTCTGGGAATGAGAAGAAAATTTCATTAAAGTTTACTTTCTTGCAGAGCTTATAGAGCATAGTGCTTACCTTCTAAATGTTGAAGGCTGATGAAAAAACATGCTATTGCCATAAAAAGGGTGATATAAATGTAAAGCAAGCTAAATTCATATAAATATGACTTTCCTAAATAACGCTGGCAAGATTTTGGCTTAGTGTTTTTTCATGCTTAAATTAGAAAACTGAATATTTGTATTACAATTCATAAAACCTTATAGGTCACAACACCAAAAGGTTTTAATTAGAATTCTAGTCTGGCCATATGACTCTCTAAATTAAGAATATCACCCCCCCGCCCCCAATGCTGCCCAGAGTAGGAAATTCACATGGGAGAAAAAACCGAAATAATGGATCAAAAAGGTAGAAGAAAAATATGTGTTCTATATTTTACTATCTACCATAAAAGTCCATTTCAATTCCAGTTTAGTCCTGAGTCTCAAGCAGATGTGGAAAGTCAGCCTTGGGGGTGAGGTGGGGATTAAAACTGGGAATCAGTTCAGGATGGAACCTCAAGAGCTACTTCAGACCCTACTCAGATCCTACTTAACCTCTGGAACTATTTCACTCCCCTATAGTTTTTCCATATTAGATGTACCTATGCCATTCAATCTTTGACTTTTGCTCTGTCCTATACACTAGACTAAGCCCTGAGATAAGTTCCCATGTTTAAGAGGCTAACAGTCTTAAAGATACATGTAGACACATAAACAATCATAATGTAATTTTTTTGTGTGGTGCTGGGGATTGAAACCAAGGGTCTTGTGCATGCGAAGCAAGCACTCTACCAACTGAGCTATATCCCCAACCCATAATGTAAATTTTTTATGTTGCAATATGAAGTGCTCTGGAGACATTACAGAAGGGGCAGCTACATGTCTGAAGAAACAAAGATACCCTAGAAATGATGTCTGAGTTGGGTTTTGAGATCAAATATTTGAATGTTTACATCCCCATTTACTCTAGAGCTGTCTCACTGAGGATCAACCACCCCAAAGATGAGTGACACTAATCTAAGTCTCAAGGGTAGCCTTCTGAGAGACCAACTGCTATTCAGTTTTCAGTGTAAGACTATCTAGTAGTAGATCTTCTCCATACGAAGTAGTCATTACCAACCTTTTTTTTCAAATTTCTATATTCACTTAACAGGGAAATTTTTCTTAAGCTAATTAGAGAAGGCATCTCTCAGAATGAATATATGGAGCTTTATCTGTCTAACGAGGGCTTATTTTATTCAGGAAACGTAAAAGTATAATTATTGTTCTCAGCTAACACTAACAGAAATTATCTTTTTTATGCCTTTACTAGCCATAGAAACAAGATACAATTTTCCACATTGGAGACCATGAAAACTATCCAATTCCTTGGACTAAGCAACTTAAGAATTTGAGTTGTATGGATTTCAAATATATAGGCCACAGGCAGAGTGTGATGGACAGAGACTATAACAAAGCTACACTTGGTAAATAAGGCCAAATTCTATAGTATGTGCTAAAAAAGAAGTAAATATCAGTTCATTTTCCCTAGTAGAAGTCAGATCACTAGGCTGCTATATATGTGAAAAGGGAAGGGAGAGGAAATGAAGAATTTATTGTTGTTAAACTCATTTCCTCCTAAACCTCTTATGTTAGGGATGATGAGTGGGTCACAGAGGATGGGGAAGGTAGTAACAGAGAAGGGAATTTAAAATACATTAAATTTTGATAATCACATAGTCATATTTTCTATATCACAATGAAGCTGTGGGAGTACTACAAATAATCTCAATTTCTACAGTAGCATGTTGGCTTTAAATAAAAACAAATATCAAGCGCAGTAATAGTAGCAGTGGGAATGCTGACAGCAAGATAAACAATAACTATGTAAATAAAGTAGCCTGTTTTACGAAGTGAGTTAGTGTTAACAGACTCTCATAATGGAGTCGTTAGGTTTCCTGTTCTTGAATCTCCGCTCTTGTGACTAGACCTATGTGAGGTTTCAGCTTTATAATGCTGGGCACAGTCTGTCTGATCAGAGTAAATGAGTAATAAGGTTACCTTAAATGGTTGTTTTGAAGCACAAAAAATGTTCTACAAACTATTCAGTTCTGTGTAG